GTAAGCAGCGGCTCAGAGGGCAGGACCTGAGCACGCCCCTTCCGGGCCCTCGCAGGTTTGTGGTCCGTGTGATGTGCTCCGTGCTGGGCCTGTTGGTGCGGCAGAGTGACCTGCGGCCGCGCGGGGCCGGTGCCAGGGTCTTCATCGCCAACCACGTCACACACTTCGACCACAACGTCGTCAGCCTCCTCACCCCCTGCAACACGGTGAGAGCTGCGCGCGGGGCTCCTCCCCGGGGCGGGGAACGAGGGCTCCTCCCGGCTTTGGTCTGGCCTCGGTGGGAAGGGTTCTCACAGCCCATCCAGTGCCACCCTAGTCCCTGTGCAGGCGCACCTTCCCCCAGACCAGGTTGCTCCAAGTCCCGTCCAACCTGGGCTTGAACACTGCCAGTGTCTGGGCAGCCACAGTTTCTCTGGGCAAGCTGTGCCAGTGCCTCAGCACCCTCACAGGGAAAAATGTCTTCACAATACCCGGCCTAAATTTCCTCTCTTCCACTTTGTACCTTTTACTCCTTGTCCTGTCACTCCAGTACCTGACAGAGTCCCTCTCCAGCTTCCCTTAGGCCCTTCAAATCCTGGAAGTTGCACTTCCAGTTCTGATTTATTAACCCAGGATTGTACAAGCCTTGAGGTGTTTTCTGTGGTTCAGTGTCACTCTTGGGCTCTGTGTGAATAAACAGAACAGGGCGAGGAAAAACAGCAGCAGTTGTTCCTGTGGGTGTTGAGTTTGGTGGAAAAACATTCAGATCCCAGCAGCTGTTTCCTTCTCTGCCCTTTCAGATCCAGGGGGCAGGAGCAGGCTGCTTGTGAAGTTTCCCCCAGCACTAGGTGTTGTTTTGGGGGGACAGTTGGGTGCACTGAGAGAGCTGTGTGTCAGTGGTGCTTGAGTTGTTCTGGCCTTTCCCTGTTCTCCTGTGAAATTCCTTGTGTGTGGAGTTCTGAGTCAAGAGGCTCTGGGTGAGTCCTGTGTCCTGCACAGCCACAGATTTCCCCCTGACCCAGAGAGGAATGACTCCTGGAAGCAGTGTGTGTCCTGCCAGGCATATCAGGCACTGTTGGAGAGAGCACAAGGAACAGGAGCAGGGGAAGTCCGTGTCTCTGGCAGGCAGGGCACAGCCTGAACTGAAGGTTTGGAATCCAGTTCCTGGGTGATTGGGAGCAGAGCAGGTCCTGAGGCCTGGCAGTAGTGTGTTCTCTGCCACCAGTGCTGTCAACCCACAGGTCACCCTGAGCCCCAGAGGAGGTTTTGATGATAAGCAGGAGTTTTGTCTCTGTCAGCTGGAAGGTTCTTGGAGGGACAGGTGGGCCCAGAGGGACAGGCTGGGCAGTCTTCTCACTCCTGCTCTCCCTGCAGCCTGCCCTGAACGGAGCCCCAGGGTTCCTCTGCTGGTCCCGGGGGTTCATGGAGCTGGGAGTGACAGGCAGCCGCTCGGAGCTGGTGGATTCCCTGAAGGTGTACTCGTCTCACCACGGAAACCCTCCACTGCTGCTGTTCCCAGAGGAGGCAGCCACCAACGGCCGGGCCGGGCTGCTCCGCTTCAGGTGTGGCAATGGGAATTCCTGTGGTGGGGTGGCTTGGGATGGCTCCAGGCAGCTGGCGTTCCTGTGGTGGGGTGGCTCAGAGTGGCTCTAGGGAGCTGGCATTCCCATGGTGGGGTGCCTCGGGATGGCTCCAGGGTCACTCACTGCAGAATTCCTCCTTCTAGCTCCTGGCCATTCTCAATCCTGGATGTGGTCCAGCCCGTTGCCCTCCAGGTCCGGAGGCCATTGGTTGCTGTGGTGAGTGAGTGGTATGGGGAGGGGGTGCAGAGTGGGTGCTGTGCCACTGCTGCTCATTCTGCTCCTGCTCTGGAGCCTGTGATTGCAGCCTGGCCCGATGACCTTCACCCCGGGACCAGCTGCTCAGAGCTAATGCTGTTCCCAAGTGCCTGTTGTGGGAGTTTGGCTCAGTCAGGACTCTTCTAGCTATATTGGGCAGTCGGATAGATGTCTGGTGGTCCAGCTGGCTGTCAGCGTGCCTCTGGCTTCCATGGCCAGCGCTGTCTCCTCTCCTCTTGGAGAGCTCTGTGCTGTGAAACACCAGCTCCAGCCCCTCAGAGCAGCTGATGTGCCAAAGGTCATGCAGGACCCTGGAGGCTCCTGAGCTCATGCCCCAAACACTGACACAGGACATGATGCAAGAGCAGTCCTGGACAAGGGGCAATGTTCAGGATGGCAACACCAAAGGGATTGCAGGGAAACTGCTCTCAGTGAGGCTTTATTGAATTTCTTATGATTTATGGAGCTGTTTGATTAAAAGACACTGAGCTGTTACATTTGTGCGACGCTTTGGTGGGTTCTCTGCTGTCCATCTCCTCAGGGCAGAGTTAGAGCCACTTACCAGCAGGTCACAGGTCGTGATGCCTGCACTAAGGCAGCAGCTTGCAGGTGTTTTAGGTGAGACTCTGCCAGGGATTTATGTTCCCCCCTGTACAGCTTGGGGCTCTGGCAGCACTGAGGTCCTTGGTGGTGAGTGCCAGGCTAGTGAGTGAGTCCAGGTCATCCGCTGATCAGTGACCACAGGGAGCTGCCAGTCACAGCTGTCCCTCCTGTGTCTGGTGTGTCTGTGGGGCATAACAAAGGAATCCTGGCAGGGTGAGGAGTCAGCTGGATGTGTGCAGGGATGGGAATCCTTGGGGAAGCTTTGTTGAGTCCTGTCAGGACAGAGAGCTGAGGCAGAGCTCAGGGAGGCCCCAGGTGTGAGGGGAACCCAGAGAGCAGTACTCTCAGGTGCTCAGTGCAGCAGAGAGGAGGCAGTGGAGCTGCGGATGGCTGTGGCACACTGGGAAGAGGCTCTGCAGTGGAGAATTGTTGTTAGGTTGTGACAAAGCTCACAGCAGCCTTGCCAGGGCTGGGATGGAACTCTGGGGCTGCACAGGTTCAGTTTTGGGTGAAGATGCAGTTTTGTAGTGAGGATACTGTACATTTTTTGAATGGCTACTCAAATGGAAGAGATCTCCCGTTCTGGACAATTTATAAGGAATGTTTTGGTTCTTATGGGTTTGGCTCCTCTGAGAAATTCTGAGGTGTGACAAGTTGTGCGTTTGTTTGTGCATCCCTTCCCTTGTGCATGTTGAGGAACAGCACACACACATCTGCAGATCTGTGTGAATGTGCTGGTTACAGTCACTTCATGGCTCAGGTTTTACCTCCAGAGGCTGAGCAGGACTTTGTACTTCCTACATATTGGCTGAGTAAAACCTGGTGTATATCTGGTGTGATTTTTAAACCATCAGAACCTTCGAGGACCAGAGATGTGACACCTTGAATGGTTCGATCGGTGATTAGTGAAAACTTCATTAAACACTTGTGTGGTATATACCAGACACTGGGCTGAGCAAACCACCAAATTTGAAGTTAAGAAAATTTTCTCCAGCTCCAGTGGCCTGGAGCCTTGCAGGAAGGGGTTGTTCTGTGGCACAGGCAGTGTAACTGGATTCTGGCTGTGGCATCACCGTAGGCATTTGGGTTTGGTGTTCTGAGATCTGTTTGCCCAGGAGCTGAGGCTCTTCTGTTCCGCTCAGGGCTGGGGTTTCTGGGCCTTTCTCATTTACAGCTTCTCAGGCCATGGGATAAACCAGGCATGAGCCTATCTGAGGGTCATGGAATTGTTTGGGTTGGAAAATCCCTCTGAGCCCTTAAAGTCCAGCAATTTCCCCAGCACTGCCAAGGCCACCACTGACATGTCCCCAAGTGCCACATTCACGCCGCTGTTAAATTCCCCCAAGCACGTGACTTTCCCCCTCCCCTGGGCAACTGTGCCAGGGCTGGACATACCTTTCCAGGAGGGATTGTTCCAATATGCAACCTAAACCTCCCCTGGCACAACTTGAGGCTGTTTCCTTTTTCCTGTGGTTCTTCCTTGGGAGAGCTTACAGGAGCTGGGACATCACAGGGGCTGTGCCCATCAGAATGAGGGAGGATTGTTCTTGATTCCAAGGAAGTGTTAGTAGGTCTTCAGGCATTTTTGGTGCTTTCGAAAGGCACAGACGAATGTGAGAATACTGAGGGCAAGTCTTGCTGCTGTCCTAGTGGGAGGAAAAGGTGAATTGGAGCAGTGAAAACTGATAATGACTAATGAGGGTGAAGCTGCCCTGGGCCTTGCCCTCCATGCTCTGGTTTTGCTGTTCCCCCTTTCCCAGTCCTCTGCACCTCTGCCCATGTATCCCTGATGTGCTGCTGTGGCTCAGGGATGCTCTGCCCACCTGCCTCCCCCATGGAGCCCAGAGCATGGGTGGGATCTCATTGTGCTCTCTTCCCCAGAGCGTGGCTGACTCCTCCTGGATCACAGAGCTGCTCTGGACCTTCTTTGTTCCCTTCACAGTATATCAAGTAAGGTACTACGTCTCTCTCTTCCCTTTGGGGCAGGGATGGGGGTGGGC